TGGAACAATTTTGGAAGGAACTCCGGAAAAGTGGTTGGACATGGGAATGTAGAAAGCAGTGGTCCTACAAAAAAGAAGTCTCGGCTGGTCTACTTTCCAGGAATTGTTCCCAACAGCAGGGCGCGCCCAGATAAGACACTCCACCAAACATACCTCGTGAACTAAACGAGACAACTCGGGATCCTTTGACACGTCATTCAGCCATCGGGCCTCCTCTATCGCAGCCAATGTAAGGCGAAGCGAATACATATACATATTTGACTGAAAGCTTACAATGAAACCCTAGGAAGTTCAAGAGAAAGAAGAAAACGGACCTCCTCCAAATCCTTTGATACATTAGCATCACGCAGACGTAGAGCAATAAACTCCCGCTCCATTTCCTTCCAATATGGCTCCCGAGAGACAATTTCCGGTATAGGTTCCAATTCATTGGTAAAAGAGAGGTTATTTATCCATGCGTGCTAAAAAAAGCTAACTGAGGCAAATATTTTCAGAGCCGACTGGCACACCTTGGACGACTGCACTTACTACAATAAGTCAGTCAATCTATAGAACCTCGAAGTAACGAGGCAGCATGGCAAAATGAGGGTGTTGAAAAAGGAAAAAGCCTCACAAACCGCAAACTTTTTGAGAAAGCTGAAGGCAACATATCACACGCATATGGAAAGGGATCCCGAAATCGGAAGGAAAATGATTCCCAAAAAAGGGACTCAATTGCTCGGACTGTAAATATCAATAAAATACTCACATCAATGCAAAATGAAGAGGAGGCTGAGCCCGATTTCACCATTGCTTCGGGGACGACATCCTGATCCAACGTAGAGGACGATGGCGTAGGAACTGGACAAGACGTATCGACTCTTGAGCAAGATGGACTGTCGGCAGGCGATTCATTTTCCGAGTCGGACCTAGATCTAGAAAGGGGAACTTTTTCTGTTCAGGCACAGGCGAGGGGACTGTGCTTCGGCTTTGCGATAACGAAGAACCATAATGGTACAGTTCATAACATTAGGGGGGGGGGATTTACGTTGACAAATACAGGATTGGGTCCTGATGCAAACACTGCGCAAATACAGCCCCTCCCCCCTATAGCTCGCCGTTGCTTGAAGGGCTGAACTACACCGAAATCAAAGGGCCGCATAATTTGGAGAACAGCGAAATTTGAACGATCGGAATACCCACGAACAGGAAGGCATATGTGTCAATTGACCCGCCTCTGTGGAAAAACGGAGAGATGAAAAATTGGAGCTTTAACGGTAGTAATCATCCTTTTTCGCGCAGTATGAACGCAGCTTAACACTCACCTCACCTTATAATGTTTACCTCTAACTACTTTTAGCAAAAATGGGAGCGCCGATGAAAAAACAAGTTCATTGTCAACTAGCAAAAATTAAAATCTACCTATGTTGGCAATGAAGGGAAAGCTC